AAAGAGAGAGATCCCGATATGGTTACGACGTTATGCAACCTGTGGGATTGTTCACAGGTGACCATCTCGCAGAGAATCCAACCACTACGATTTATTCGTATTTATACGAATTTCTATTCCTTTTGCACCACTACGCAATTTGTATCAAACTCACGAATTGTTGTCATTTTTTGTCAATTTATTCTCATTGTTGCCCCTCAGAATGCAGGAAATTGCATCTCGGAATCAAAACATTTCGCGGTGGCATGCGGACCACCCTAGCAAACTCGGCGTCACTACATGACCCTCGAACTACTAATTTGATGGCCAGAAACTAAGATTGCTTCAAATATTGTTGGCATCTCTGATCTTCGTGTCTGATATGTGCTGTCACTCACAAGCATCAGGCCTGGTAAATCCGCTGACCCCATCGCGGGCGCCCCATACTGACAGTTTGATTGTTTTCTCGCATGTGTTTGCCTGCCTTTCGTGAGTTGTGAGTGCTGGATAGAAATTACCGTGATTTCTCATTTATATTGGCTCTTTTCACTAATTTCAGTTCGTGATTTCTAGTTTTATGGTTGGTTATCTAGGATAATTGATATTGTATCGTACCACCGCGTGTTACCAATCTTAGTAATGACTCTACCAGCAGTTTTCCCGTGTGGTAGGGTATGCCACATTAACAATGCTATTACAGTTGTATTTATTGTTTTAATCAAACTAACACGTGTTTTTGGCTTGCTATAATCTGCTTCGGCCGTTTTTAACTCGACTGGCATAACTGTCTTATACAGGTTCTGCCCATGTTTTTTTGTGGCGACGTATAATTATGCATGTGCGTTCTGACCCGACGATTTAATGGCATCTTATTTTGCGCATGCTGATATAACAATAACAGCATGAAGTTTTTTGTGCTGTGGCGATTTGATGTGATCGCTGTTATTATCCAGATACTACAACGCGTATACGCTCCTTCGCGCTAGGCCAATTAAGTCGAGGTTTTTCTTACAATGTTCTCAGATGATCGCTAAAATTTGCTCAGCGAATCGACAATTCACACCTGCGGGCAGGCGTGAATTGAAAGTTCTCCGTTGCGGCCGTGCCGTGAAAACACGCCATTGGCCTGGACGTCATATCTTCTTTGTTTTCTCCCCAGCAGGACTGCACTTCTCAGCATTCGATTTCTTGCCTGGAGAGGAGCAGGTGGTTATGATCAGTGAGCCACAAAAGGTCACATCCAGTGCTAGACGAAGATCTCGAAGGTGCCTACGACATAGGTATTGATGCTGCTAGCAGGAGCGGTACACGAGTGACCTTCCGTTCTCAGAAACGTATTGTTTATATGAGTTACTTCGTAAGATGGCTTCCAACTTGATGCGTTTCTTCTTTGTAGAAACAAGCCTTTCTTCTCTCACATAATTTATCAGCACTGATAGCAATCTTCTTCCCTGCATGTAGCCTTTACTTTATTAACATGTTCACACTTGTTGATCTTCAGGGTGTGATTGCATTACTACGTGCCATTAGCCCATTGTTTTTTCTAATTGAAAACCCGTGATTTACCAATTTCCGTCGATATTTCCTGAACAAAAATGTTTGGCAGTAACTATTTACATTAAAAAAAGAACCAAATAGATGCAAAACGTGATTCCCTAAAACATTGCCATGGTATCTGACAGTGCCAGTTCCATCGTTGCCTCCGGAGCGACCTCGTGTGCTACCTAGCATCCCACCGCGACCACCGAAGAGCCAAACAATTGTGACTGCCGTGTCGCACGGGAACCAGACTTTCCCGCAGGAATCGACATGGATAACTTCCGCTGTATCAGCGTTCTGGGTAGAGGTCACTTTGGCAGGTGAGTATATTTAACCAACTCAAAAGTGTGGCGGTCATAACGAAGGGTGTATGTAACTATTGAAGCCAACGTTGGGGATGTTCTCGATTGGGAAAGTACTGCCCAAGGCATTGCCTTCCTGGTTAATCTTCCAGTTAACCACTTATAAGCAGTGTGTAGAAAACGCTATTGTAGCTGCCCTTAGCGACTTGGTTTGATGTTAATAAGGCTTCCCCCATGCCATAACCTAATCTCTTTTAGGTACTGTTGTCGGAGTACAAGACACACACGTGAAATGTTTGCCATCAAGCGCGCTCAAGAAAGGTGACATCATCTCCCGGAGGAGGTCGAATCGGCTCATGTCGGAAGAAGAGAATATTCGAGGTGGCTAACGCGATGCGACATCCGTTCCTCATCAACCTGTTTGCCTGCTTCCAGACCAAAGGTGACAACAGGCACCGTTTGTGCTAATTATCTGGTGTCGTTCGTTAGAGTTCGATTATTGCACTATAGAGTCGAGTCGGGCATGATAAACACTCAGGCTATAATTGCGGTTAGTCTGAGTCTGTAGTCACTAGTGAGAGTTTATCCATGTGCAGACCCTTTGGCTGCTGGTAAAATGTAAACTGCAAGTTATACGTTGAGCGAAATGAGGAGCAAAATTACAAGTTATCGGTCAGATGTACATACACTGAGGGCTTGCATGATTCCCACCAACAGAATCTTTCTTGTTGTAGTTGTGACCAGCATCGTTATTTTTTGTAGCAACGAATAACATCATTGTAGTACATCAGCGTTATAGCCCGATAACAGAGACATTAAATTTGCACCCCAAGTCAACATTGCTCCTATAGTACAACCCCCCCCCCCCCCAACTCCCAACGACGGATGTCAGGGATGCCAGACACCGTTATAAGAACTACGTCTTCACCGTTGCCCCGCCGCCTGACAACAGTATGCAATGTTCTGTTGCAGGACCACGTCTGCTTCGTAATGGAGTACGCGTGCGCGAGGTGACCTCATGATGCACATCCATTCTGAGTGTGTTCTCGGAGCCCCGCGCGCTTGCTTCTACGCTTCTGGTGTAGTACTCGGCCTTCAGTACCTGCACGAGCACAAGATAGTGTACCGGTGAGTTATGCCCGCGCGTGTGTGTGCGTGTGCGTGCGTGTGTGCATGCGTGTGCACGTGTGCATGCATGAGTGTGGGACCCAAAGCCTCGGAGTGGTGTTGTGTGTAAGTCATGTAGGTAGATGTGGCATCAGCGCTACTAATAACCCCTGCCTCTCCCAGAAACACACACATCTCCAATATCTAATGTACTCTCTCGCCGCAGTGAACTGACAACCCCTGCCTCACCCAGAACGCACACATCTCTAACGGCTAATGTACTTTCTCTCCGCAGTGAACTGACAACCCCTGCCTCTCCCAGAACGCGCACATCTCCAATGGTCTATATGTACTCTCTCTCCGCAGTGAACTGACAACCCCTGCCTCTCCCAGAACGCGCACATCTCCAACATATAATGTACTTTCTCTCCGCAGTGAACTGACAACCCCTGCCTTTCCCAGAACGCGCACATCTCCAACATATAATGTCCTCTCTCTCCGCAGTGAACTGACAACCTGCCTGCCAGAACGCGCACATCTCCAACATGATAATGTACTCTCTTGCCGCAGGGACCTGAAGCTTGACAACTCTCTGCCTAGACGCTGACGGCTTCGTGAAGATCGCAGACTTCGGGCTGTGCAAGGAGGGCATCGGCTTCGGCGACCGCACGGGCACGTTCTGCGGCACGCCAGAGTTTCTCGCCCCCGAGGTGCTCACCGGAGACGTCGTACACGCGCGCGCGCGTCGACTGGTGGGGACTCGGCGTGCTCATATTCGAGATGCTGGTGGGAGAGGTGAGCACACGAGAGGGGTGAGAGAGAGAGAGGGGGAGGGGAGGGGAGGGAGAGAGAGAAAGGGGGAAGGGGAGGGAGTAAGGGAGCGAGTGAGAGAGAGAGAGAGATAGTGAGCATACGAGAGAGGGGAAAGAGAGAGAGAGAGTGAGCATACAAGAGAGGGGAAAGAGAGAGAGGGGGGAGGGGAGGCAGAGAGATTGAGAGTGAGAGAGCGAGAGAGAGGAGAGGTACAAGGGGGAGAGTAAGATGGTAGTGTTTGGCAGAGAAGTAGCTGTCTTGTGAGGGGGTTGCACAGACAGAGAGTGCTGTTTGAAGATTATGTCTCTGATTTTGTTTCTATGGATTGTCTTTGTGTGAATGGTTTGGTGGGTTTTTGGTGCGTAGTCTGGAAGAGGTTTAGTGATATTTCTTAAAAGAACTATATAGCATAGCTAAAATAGGACTGCCTGATCACAGATTATAGATCTATAGGGGTAGGTAGACTATACATTTTTAGGTGACAGATTTTTGTTCTCACTGTAGGTGTTAATGTGTGTTGCTGTAGTGGCACATACCAATGTGTATATATTGGTAAATCGTGTCTCGTTTTTCAGTCTCCATTCCCGGGTGATGACGAAGAGGAGGTGTTTGACAGCATTGTAAATGATGAAGTGCGCTATCCCCGATTTCTCTCCACGGAAGCCATTGCGATAATGCGCCGAGTAAGTGCTTCCGCCTCACGATCACTTGTACACTCACGAAAACTAATACACTACAACTCGATTACATTGAAAACTCTAAAAGCACATTTTCTTGAAGCGAGTAACTTCAGTTCAGTATATTTTTTTTTCTACAGTGATAAATGTTTTGTATGGTCTAGCTAGAGTGTGCTGCACTTTAACCAAGTTTGGTTATGGCTGTAGCTATGATATATATATATGCTATGGTGCAGTGTTATGTCTGGTTATATAAGTGTGCCCTGAGAAATACAGGCAACATTCTCAGCCAAGTGTGTAGAGCTGATAGAACAGTAATTGTTTTTTTGATGATTCCAAGTTGCTACGGCGGAATCCGGAGCGACGCCTTGGATCGAGTGAAAGAGATGCGGAGGATATTAAAAAGCAACCTTTCTTCAGGGTGAGTGCTGATATAGCACCTGGTGCCTGTGTTAAAATTGCCAGTGTCCTTAGAGGACAACACCGTTAATGCCACAGTCATTTTAGAATGTGATGTTTGGCTAGAGTATAAATCTAACGTTCACCCAGTGAATGTGGTTAGTCGCGTACGTTCCGTTTTGTAGCCAACACTGGTATACTGGCTGGAGTGGCTTGGAAAGCAATTTATTGATGCCTTTACATTATTGCAAAGAATTTAAAGTTTGTGGGTAAATTTGTGCCCTAGTTTACAATACTCTTGCCCTACACTGTCGTCTGATAGTGGCAGGTAGCAGGCCAGTCAATATTTGTTTGTAACATTGATTTCTGATGTTTCAGAGCATAGACTGGGATCAGTTGCTGAGACGGGAGGTGAAGCCTCCGTTTGTACCGACTGTTGTAAGTACAGTTGTAATAACAGTTATGTTAGGCATTGTGCTCGTGTGTCTCACAATGCCCATTTTAAATAATAGCGCTAACAACACATACTGTTTCTAACGTTATTGCTCGATTTATCTCGTTTAACTTTTATCTCTCTCTACATTGATGTTCACACAGCATCAATCTCATAGCAATCAGTGCATCACCCGCTGGTTTAGAATTTCTCTTACACGAGAGGTCTCACAAATGAGGGTCACCTGTCGATGTCAAACGTGTAAGGGCAGTGGGTGTTACGTCTACTCTAGCGTTATTCTTATCATCTTATTGTTTACGTTGCAAATTCCCTGCTCATTTTTCACGTGCATTGCGTTAACGTTTCAGCGAAACGCCGAAGACGTTAGTAACTTTGACGAAGAGTTCACGACAGAGCGCGCGATCCTGACGCCGCCGAAAGACCGCCGCACGCTCAGCGTCGACGATCAGGCTCTCTTCAGCGACTTCAACTACATGGCGGACTGGTGCTGAGCGAAGCCACCTGGTGTTGTACCTGAGCGGCGAGTAGTTATGCTTGCAGCGCTGGGCCTTGTCCGATCGCGCAGCTGTGGATTGCAGGAGCTGCACGCGGCACACCGGTCGTGCAAGTATCCGGTGTCAGCAGCTGTAAGAGTCCAGTCGTCTAAGTGTCTCATCTCAACGGACATATATGACTAGCTTTCCAAATATCTGGTGTCGACACACAGATTAGACGGGTGTGGAAGTGTCTGAGATGTTGAGCCGCACTAGACTAGGTGTCTCGTGTCAATAGCCGTACGAGGCTAGTTGCCAAAGTCCCTGGTGTCAACACCTTTAGCCTGGTGCACCTGCAGCTCTAGGCACGTTGTCTCTAAGTGTCTGTGATCTAGAACCATGTGAGACTGTTGGGCGAGTATCTGGAGTTCACAGCCGAAGCAGCCTGGTTGCCCCAATATCTGAACCAGCTATCGTGCTGCGATGGTCTCAGGTCCATAGCTTCCGCCCACTATCTGTGAGGAGTGACAGAGTTTACATCTTTGTGTCTTTGAAACACTCGTGCTATAAGGCTTAAGTACGTCATTGTAATTCGTTTGGAGTTTTCGGCCAAGATTGAGACAGACTAGAACAGATAGAAGGAAACAGTACTGTGTGATGTTAGTGCTAATGTCGGGCTGTGCCATCAGGTATGCCATCTCTACATACAGTCCTGGCAATGTCAGGGAGTGTTCGTTACATTTTCGTTGTTGTGGTGGATTCGTTCCGAAACCAAATGGTGGTTTATGTCATAGTAAAAACATGTTTGGCGTGTGTTATTTTAATGTACAAAGCTGTGTTGATATCAAGGGCACTAGTTTTACTAATTCCTCCCTAGCCTGGTTCAGCTGCGAACGGCAAGATGTAACATAAGTGCAGCTATGTATTTTATTAGTTTGCCGTTGAATTTTAGATGACATTGAAAAATAGCAGCTGCCTTTGTAGGTTACAGACATATCGCAGTGCTGCGTGATGTATACTGCTTGCAACACCGTCTATGGCTGTGACATGCCATGTGCCCAGTGCATTTGTAATTATAATGGTTGTGTCTGGATGATCACATTAATTGCGTGTTTTACGTAAATGACATGTTAATGTTATTATTGCCATGGGTATGTATCAAGACAAAGCGTGTGATAACAAGATACGACAGTGTTAGTTGTTAGTTGGTGCTGTTGTGCCTTAGCATCACGATTTATACATACATGACATACATGCTGTGTGTCAGGAACAGAGTGAACACATTTCTGTATTATTTGGCACGCTGCATTGTTTAGACTGAGAGTGCCATTGCATACTCACTGTCTAATATGGTTGAATCGTTTATGATGTAACGATGGCAGCACATATCATAGTCAAGTTATAAACAGCTATATTGCAGTGAATAGTTATTATAATGTGGAAACGTGGCTTGTTAGCATGTGGGTGTGCGAACCTGAAAAATATCCTCCAACTATTACTTACATGGTATTGTGAACATATCTATACATTGACTAAGAAAGCTAACTACACTAGCAGTTCTAGTAACGTGACCTCTTCAGAATTAAAAAAAAAATTGTCACTAAAACCCACTCCAGCTAAATCTGCTTTAGCCACAGATTCCTAAAATTATCTCCATCACTTGGTACAAACTGTTGACTCTTGTTTATACCATTTTAACAACCTATAGCCTAGTAATATACAGAACTCTTGACGTGGCCCTAGTCGTTACTGTTCGCAAGTTGAATGCTACAAACCGTGATAAAAAAAACGTTACATTGTTAATTCTAAATGCATACCTAATTGCTTAATTATGACGAAATAAAGCACATTTGAGTCTATTAAATTGGAGCTAAATTGTGCTTGTATCAGCTTTTGGCACATGGAAACCTCATTACTAATGTTAGCTCGTGCTAATTATTTTTGCTGTCTAGTACCGCTTTTACAAAAGTCTGAAATGGTGTCACTGCTGGAGTAGCAGGTGTAGTGGTCTTTCATGTTCATTTTATAGATGTGTTTATGATAATGTACGGTTTACTCATATTTGCACCCCGAGTTTCAAAAATACATGTATTTGATGCAGGTATTTTAAAGAATGAAAATATGTGTCAAGTGCATAAATAGCACTGATTAATTTAAAAAAAAATGCCTATGCAAACATGTAATCTTATATATTCTGATGCATTGTATGACATACATTTTATCAAGAGTGATTAATAATAGATCTATTATTATTCAATCCGGATTTTATCACACGTGGCCTATGAATTTCGGCTGACAACAACGACTGTTCTAATCCTGTAAGTGACCGTGCTGCCATCTGGTAACCCGATCTTAATTATTTAAAGTCAAATTAGGATTCTTCTACACCAAATCGCAACGCTATCGAGTGGTAATGTCTAATGCTGACCCTACACGTCGTGGCATATAAGCACGCGGGAGCGGTGTCGTGACAATCTCCAATGTCATTGTTAATGTCGTGGTTGTCCTTCACACTTTTCTGTCATGCAGCCGCCCTTGCTAAAGTCACGCAGCCACTTTCTGTAATCATGGATTTTTGAGCAAAACTAGCCGGCCAGTGTTGTCTGCCTCAGCCATAGTGTTATTGTTTTCTTCATGGATGACAGCTCGTGTATGGCTGCCAGTGCTTACGATGCGGCTGCTAGCGATGCCAGGCTGTTGGCACGCCGACTGCGCAGGTTGTCTCGTTGTTTCGGCATTGTTGGGGGGGCCACTTTACAATTTGATCAGAGGTGGCCATAGAAACCTAAATGACACTCCTGTCAGCTGTTCGTCCACGCGTACACCTGAGAGTTGCAAGCTTGATGAAAATCTTATTTTATGTAATAGACGCGTTTTAATAAAACCATGAAATGTAATTAAAACGACAATATTACGAGTTTTTCCCATATTTACTTTGCGTTGTTGTTGGCGTTTGTTTGTTAGAAGCCACTCGATTGGAGATAATATCAGAGCAGTGTGATAACGCATTGGTGGGTGGCGGATGAAGAGGGCCGTGAATGAGGAGGGCGGTGGGTGGGAGATAGAAGACAAGGGGACAAGGGGGCGCGGTGGAATCGGAGATACAGGCAGTAGATCAGGACGGTGGGGATCTGGGCGGTAGAGGCGGTGGGTTAGGAGGGTGGTGGAATGAGAGGTATAGGCGGTGGGTGAGGAGGTGGTGGAATGAGAGGTACAGGCGGTGGGTGAGGAGGGTGGTGGAATGAGAGGCACGAAACAAGTTATATATTGCCACTCACGCGTAGTTTGGGAAGGCAGGAGTGTACGTGTAGGGAAGGCGGAAGAGGAGCGAAAGAGAAGATTATAGTGACAAAACGTACCTATATAGCTACCAAAACCGTCGTACTGTATTGGTGACCAAACGTGCAACGTATGTTGGTCGCCAACTGACGAATTAAAAAAAAATTCACTGGCTACCCACTGAGCTGTATAGTCCTGCATCCCAAGAGCCTGGCGAAAACAATCTATGCGTCATTACGTCGGCGTCAACTGCGCGCGTGCGTGCGTGCGTGCGTGCGTGCGTGCGTGCGTGTGTGGGAGCAGTGTGTGTGGGGTGCGTCTTGTGTTGTGTGCGCGCGCGTGTCTGTGTGTGTGTGCTGGTCGTGGTGCGTGCGTGTGTGTTGTGTGTGTGTGTGTGTGTGTGTGTGTGTGTGTGTGTGTGTGTGTGTGTGTGTGTGACAGGTGTGTGTGCGTGCGTTGCGTTGTGTGTGCTGTGCGCTGCGTGTGTGTGTGCTGTGTGCGTTGAGTGTGGTGTGTGTGTGTGTGTTGTGCGTGTGTGTGCGGGGGTGCTGTGTGTGTCGTAACGTGCGTGCGTGCGTTGGCGGTGTGCGTGTGTGTGTAATGTGCGCTGTGTGACCAGTGTGTGACAGTGTGTGTGCGGCGTGGCGCGCTGTGTATGTATGCCGCGCGTGCGTGGCGTGCGTGCGTGGCGTGATGTGTGGTGTGGCGTGTGCGCGTGTCTGTGTGTGTGTGCGTGCGTGCGTGGTTGACAGTGTGTGACACGTCGTGTTGTTGCGTGCGTGACGTCGTGGTGTAATGTGTGTGCGCGCGCTGTGTGTGTGTTGTGTGTGTGTGTGTGTGTGTGTGTGTGTGTGCGTGGCGCGCGTGCGCTGGCGTGTGTGCGGCGCGACGTGTGTGTGTGTGTGTGTGTGTGTGTGTTTGTGTGTTTGGTGTGTGTGTGTGTGTGTGTGTGTGTGTGTGTGTGTGTGTTGTGTGTGTGTGTGGTTGTTCGTTGTGGTGTGTGTGTGTGTGTGTGGTGACAGTGTGTGTGCAGTGTGTGTGGTGCGGTGGCGCGCTGGCACGTGTGTGTGTCGTGGTGCGTGCGTGTGTGTCGTGCGTGAGTGTGGCGTGTGCGCGCGCGTGCCGTGCGTGACGTGAGTGTGCGCGTGCGGGTCGTGTGTGTGTGTGTTGTGTGTGTGTGTGTGTGTTGTGTGTTCTGTGCTGTGTGTGTGTTGATGTGACAGTCCCGTGTGCGTGTGTGTGTGGTGTGTGTGTGTGTGTGTGTGTGTGCGTGGCGGTGGTGTTAGTGCGGTCGTGTGTGTGTGCTGTGTGTGTGTTGTGTGTGGTGTGTGTGTGTGCTGTGTGTGTGTCTCGTGTGTTGTGGTTGTCCGTGTGTGTTGTATTGTGCCGTCAGTGTGTGCTGGTGTGTGTGTGGCCTTGTTTGCTGTGGGTGTGTGTGTGTGTGTGTGTGTGTGTGTGTGTGTGTGTGTGTGTGTGTGTGTGTGTGTGTGTGTGTGTGTGTGTGTGTGTGTGGGTGTGGGGTGTGCGTGCGTGCGTGCGTGCGTGCGTGTGCGTGCGTGCGTGCGTGCGTTCGTGCGTGCGTGCGTGCGTGTGTATTGAGTGCAGAATCTCTACCGTACTACAAATTTTAAGTTAATTCAGCAGTACATGTACTTCATATATGTACTTCATCATCATTTCTATGTCTGTATAGTACTTTACTGTGACCTATAACAGTAACTGGAATTGGTGAATTGAGACCATTTTTGTATGACTGGTCGTATAGCTGAGTAGCTGATACGATAGGTGACTGGTTGTTAGCACCAGGAAGTTTTTATCAATGTTGCATCATGGCGGAAGACTGTGAGGATCAAGTTTGTATTAGAATGGTTTCGAAGAGAAATGTCCGAAGGCGACGTCAGTCATCAGACAGCAGTGAAGACGAAATAGATACAGATGTTACTAGGTACACGTAATATAACTATAACTAAAAACAACCCGTAGCTGTGTGCACACAGAGGGAACTCACTAACTCAGTAACTGTAGTCTGTAGTCTGTACTGACTACTGAGTCTGTAGTCTGTAGGCCTACTGTAGACTGTACGTACACTGGCTGTAAAACTTGTGAAGTAGGCCTAGTACTACGTACTACTAGTACTGCTGAGAGGGTCTATGTCCCCCAGGGTACTGCCGGAACGTACCCTGGGTACGGTCCGGTCCGGTATACCGGAACGTACCCTGGTACTAAATACTACTATCTAATAATATGCCGGACCGTACCTCGCCTACTCCACTAACTAGTCTAGGGAGTCGCCTACGCCTACTCCCTAACCCTAACCCTAACCCTAACCCTAACCCTAACCCTAACCCTAACACTAACCATATCAGCTAGATAGTTACCAGGGTACGTTTCAGCAGTACCCTGGGGGACATATAGACCCTATGAGGACTAGTACCTGGAGTACTAAGGCTGAGACGGTCTATGTCCCCCGGGGTACTGCCGGAACGTACCCTGGGTACGGTCCGGTATACCGAAATGTACCCTGGTACTATCTAGCTGATATGGTTAGGGTTAGGGTTAGTGTTAGGGTTAGGGTTAGGGTTAGGGTTAGGGTTAGGGTTAGGGT